GGGGGTTGAGTTGATGCCAAAGACTTTTACTTTAGTTTCATCTGACCACAGCACTTCTCAGAATCATTTAAATGTTCTTGGTCAACCCTAAGATTGGCCTGTACATGCGCTTAGCAGGTTCCGGAAGATTCCATTATAGCACAGGTACGATCTGATATTGTTGTGTTGGAGTTGTTTCTGGATCAACGGCGGTAATGTTGATCCAAGTTCAACATTTCAAGGAACTAATCACATTGTAGTGATGTCATAGTTTAGCATCTTGGAAACACCATCACACCAAACCATAACCCTAACCCCAGAACTCTAACCCTAACCGTAACCACGATCATATCTTAACCCCAACCCTAATTTTGACCCTAACGGCTCCTTTTTTGGATTTTCTTCCTTAGTGGACATCGGCAAGTATTTTTCTCTAAGTCGCAAAGCTATGACATCGTAACAATGCGACTGGTCAGATGAAATGTTGATCCAGGAACAACACCAAAACGAGAATATCAGATAGAGCACAGCGTATTGTGTTACCAGGGGTGTTCTTGGTAACACTGGATCCAACTGCCACATGGATACACAGCCGATCTGTAGCTCCCTCAGATGCCTCCCTGGGTAATTTCACAGAAAATCCATTTCTAGCTTTTTTTTTGGCTGAAGTATTATTATGATTGTCTGTCTATATTAAAATTAAACTGCCATAAAAATTAGAGACTGTTCATTTCTTTGTATGTGAACAAATTTACAAATTCAGCAGGGGATCAAATTATTATTTGCCCATGTGTATTTGAGAGTTTTTACGAAAGGATGCAGAGGATGAATACATGCATAGACTTATTCAAAACGGTTTCATAACATACAGCATGTAAATACCATACAAACACTCTATACATAACAGGGAGAAGTTTACCGCATAAAAACAGAATTCAGAAATATTACAAGGAAAAAATTGAAATAATGAACCTTTTCTATTTCAGTTCAATTCAATTTTATTTATATAGCGCCAGATCACAGCAACAGTCCCCTCAATGCTTGGTAGACCCCACAATAATACATACAAAGAAAAAAACCTAAAAATCATATGACCCCCTATGAGCAAGCACTTTGGTGACAGCGGGAAGGAAAAACTTCCTTTTAACAGGAAGAAACCTCCAGCAGAACCAGGCTCAGGGAGGGGCGGGGTCATCTGCTGTGACCAGTTGGGGAGAGAGAAGAAAGACAGGATAATATTACAAAGAAGAACACATTTTTGTTGCCTTTGGTTCAGGTCAGATCATGTTGGGGAGTGCACTTATCCCCTACTGGGATTGCATAAAATTTACACATGCACCCCACTGTCAGTAGCATCCTCGGGCAAAACAATAACCTACTTAGGTGACGTGGTGGAAAGCAGGCTGCATCAGTCCTACATATGACCAACTTCCAAACTTTCCATTTACGGAGAATAGTTAGTTAACAAAAGCTGTATTACCAGTAATTTATTATTGATGGGTTTTTTTGGCAATCCAGAGAGAGTGTAAAAGGCAGTGTACACTTTCAGAGCAACTAAATTCACTTGCAAACACAAAATATGTTTCCGTGTCCCTGCTGTGCTGCCTGCTCGCTCACCTGCAGGGAAGACAGGAGTAAGGTGAATTGCTTTAGTCTCATGAGCCTTAAAATTGAATTGCATCGCCAAGGAGAAAAGGGCCAAATATTCAAGAATGAGAAGAGATGTGATGATGTCAGCAGCTCTGAGGCAAGCACTTTTCCCCTTTTTTTTCAGGATAGCAGCATGCATGGATGATGTGCATGTGTTTGTGTGTCATTGTAGAGATGCCTCTATGCTGAGTTGAACAGCCGGATGGGTTCAGGTTGTCATTAAGGGAAAGTTGAGTAAAGCAATGGGCTGAAACTCATTTTTATTATCTCCATATCACACTCTTGACACTTTTCCTTCTGCTTTTTTCCTCTTCCTGACCTCTCCCACCATTATTCCCTCTGCTGGACTTAAATCTTCCTCGCTCACCGTCTGCCTTCACTTTTGTGTTGTTCGAATTTCTTTCAAGTCATTATTTTCCGTCCAATTTCCACCACAATTTCTCACCTCATTTCACTTGAGATCCTTTTTCGTCTTCATTTGCATGGCTCAACCATAAATATTCCTCTGTCCTAAACACATACACACACGCACACACACACACACTACCATACACTGTAATTAAACTCCCCCAGGGGCAGTTTGGGGGTTAGCAGTGAGAAGAGACGAGGAGAAAGTGAGCGATAATGCCACTTCAAAGCGGCTGCAGACTGGCTCATTCCCCTCAAGCTTCAGATGGATTAAGGCCACTTCTGGCCTTTTTTGTACCCCATCAGCTCCACTTCAACACAGAGCACCCTCTTCGACAAATGTATCCCGGTACACTCCAAACTCAACAGGCAACGGAAAACAACTCCTCAAGAACAAAAAGTAGGCACAATGAGCCGTACTTTGAGTGCTACACACTAATTGCAAATGTGGGAATAATTTAATGATTTGTTATTTTACTGTGAGGTTGACGTGATTCAGTCCAGATTCAACAAACATTTTTTTATAGCTTATCTAGCAAGCTAAGTAGTGAGATAAAGCTAATTCTCGCTAAGCTAAAATTGATTGTATATCCACACAGCTATCTAAGATCATCAAAACACTCTTTAACACCCACTGGACAACTGTTTTTCTCATGTTGTCCAACAAATCGATCATATTAAAGCTTTGTTCCTGCTGCCTGTGTCTGTAAAGTGAAGCCAGCAGTTTTATATAAATCACTGGCAGCTGCAGAAGCGCCTTAAATCTGCATTCTTTCTAATGAACAGTAGGGGGCGACGTCTTTGTTTTAAAAAAAAAGATAAGCTCCAATCAAGTACCAGATCCTACATAGGACAAACAGTTGATAAGATTTGCCTACTAATTAGGCAATATGCTTGGTTTATTGACAACTACATGTGAAGCCATATTCTTTGATAACTGCATGCAGAGACTGCTGAGATTACAAGTTTATTCCAGTTTGCAAAGACGTTTGTATTGTTCATGTTCAGCTCAACGACTCTACACAGGGGGGTCATAATAACTGTGTACTGACAGTAAATGTAATACTATGACTGCAGTGTTGATCTTTACCATCTCCCTCTGATCTCTGGTAAATGATGAAGTATTCCTCTTATTTTAAACCTGACATTAAATCTGCATATGATTTCTTATCATTTCTCCAAACACATTAACCTCTAAAAAGAAGTTCTCCAAAAATAAATCTGTCAGCATCATGCTTCATGAAAACAACTGGCGTAACCACCAGTAAGGTGAAGATTCAAGGGTGGGGGGGTTTTTTTGTCTCTTCTTTTTTTATTTTGCAAGCTGAAACCAGAGGTCACTGGAGGAGACTGTGCTCGTCTGAACCTAAGTTGAGTGATAAAACTGTCAGCGGCACAGCAAAGAGATATGAATGTTGTCATCTTAAATTGTTCTTATAACCTTGAAAGACACTGAAGAGCAAAGAGAAGAAAGGAGAGGAGCAGGGCGCCACATCGGCATCTTCTCCCTGAAGCAAAAGAGACGTTAAAGGGGCGTCTGTTGAGAATGTTAATCATGTATTGATCTGTGTAATCTGTGTCCCTGAGTACCTATACATGAGCACAACGGACAGCATTTTGCCACACTCCAGGAGAAACACTGGCCCAATTTTATTCTTAATAAGGTGCACAAGCTTTGCAGGACCCTTGTGTCCCCTTTATTGACCTACTACTGCATGTTATTCTCTTTAAGAGACCATATAGGATACACAATTAGTAAGATTTTATGTGCCTGCCAGAGCCCTTTCATTTGATTGAGAGGGTATGGGATCAATAGGTCCTTCGATTGCACATAAGAGCCCTTTTACTGACAAATCGCACTCACAATTGATTTCCTGTTTATAGATTCATTCCTATTATTAATTTCTACACATATACAGTTCATGTTTTATTAAACGTTGCATGGGATCACTTTTTCCTTCCTTTAGCTTCTGGAATCCCATTCCAGCTTATGTAATGTTAGGAATCATTAAATGTCTTTAGAAATGTTTTACCTTTGTGTTGCATCATTTGTAAATGATGTACAGAGGATTCTAAATTAACGGTTGTGTCGCAAGGTCTAAGAGAGGCTGAAGCTATGGCATTTAAATGCATTTATTGCACTATCATAGACATCAGTGTTTCTCTTACATCCACAGGAAAGTGAAAGTTTTTAGTGCAGTTTTACTATTGGAAGATCACTGGCACCAGAATTCGGTAAGGCTGTTGGTGCACAAAAGATGATGGGGGGGGCAAACTAACAATCCTAAACAGCAACAGTGACATCATCACATCACAAATGCATTTTTTTATTTAGATATTGTAACTGTCTATACATTCTCACCCAGCTACTCTTCGGTTAGGGTCAGGCATGAAAAACTACTTATTTGACTTGGGAAATCATAATGTAAGGCATAATATGCATTATGTGTTAAAAACTTAGCTTAAAGTGGTGTTAAGGCAGCAAGGTGACATGGTGGATAGCACTGTTGCCTCACAGCAAGAAGGTCCAGGGTTCAGATCCACTCGGATCCAGTCTCTGTGTGGCCTTTCCAGCGTCCTCTCAGATCCAGATGTATTGATATTGCAATAACACATGTGCACAGATAGAACAGTGAACGTCTGTGCTTTATAAATGATTGATTGGTTAAAGCGTTTCAGACTGCTTCATTAAAAATAGCTGACAACAGGCACGGATATGTTACTTTTTGTCTAAAATGATGATTTCTCTTTGGAGGATTGGTTTGTTTTTCGCAAGTAACTTATAAGCGAGGACTGATGCAAGTGTGTGCGTGTGTTTGTGAGGGAGAGAGAGAGAGAGAGTCATAAGCCGTGGCTGCACGTTGCACTCTGCAGCACTTGCGCACTTCTTCCACCTCTCCGCATACTGAAATCCTCTCTGCGCCGACTTTCCATCACAGCCAGCCTGGAAGTCTGCCGGTGGTCGAAGGGCCGTCGTTGTGAGGTGTCCACCGAGACAACTGAGAACGGCATCGTGCACCACCACCACCCCGTCCCTTTCCCCACCCTCCCCTTAACCCTCCTCCTCTCCTCTGGCCGTTGTTGCGCTTCTGCTGCTGCAGAGTCCAAGTTCAGGTGAGCCCGGTCTCCGGTACAACAAGTACCTCCTCTCTCCGGTACCCTAACCGGGGGATGCTCGCCTCCTCCCGTTAAACGCCATGCTATAAATGGGCCGCACAGGATGTGAAGCCTCACCAGAAGAAGCAGGAGGATGGCTAAACCAGGCTTGTCTGCGGCGGTGCTGCTGCTCCTGCTGGGCTTCCTCTCAGCGTCCTCCGTTAATGCCGGTGAGTTTTACCACAGGTTGATGAGCGATCGTTGCGAGTAAATGTGAGTTGATGCACCGGGCCGATTAAACACATGTCGTTGTGCTTTTATTTTAGTATTATTTGGCAGCAGCTGACTGATGTCATGCATTTGGTGTGCATTTCATCCCTTTTTGGGAAGCCACCTGACGTGACACACTGCATGTGCGTGCATCAGCTATAGGTGGACACAGTGAGCTTTAGTGATGCCAAAAAAATGGCTGACACAAGTTGGTCTCACACTGCATCAGAGTGACAGTTTAATCCCAGTTTGTATAAATGTTTCTAGAAAAGTGTCATTCAAAAAAAACCCAGTCTTTGTGGCACCGTGTGATTGGCTCAGTAAGTTCTCAGATGACTGTTAAATTCAAGTAAAGACTAAACGAGCATTAGAGCTTTACATTTTAGTTGACTAACTGACCAATCAGTGGTCATTTTCTCAGATGTGAGTATTTGCCACTTTCTCTTGTGTCAGACAAAACAAGATATTAGTGAGCATCATTTTGGCTCCTGGAATATTTCAGTTGGCATTTTTTCACCATTTTCTGAAAATTCTTCATTGTTTGGGGAGATAATCTCTAGTAGCTGCTTTAAAAATGTGCAGGTTCATCCATCCAGTGTCCTGAAGGGATGTGAAATGTGATTGAGTTACTTCCATGTAAAGCCTCTACGTACAGCAGGTCCAATCCTCCTATATGTTCATGCGTGTGTGGGGTTGGGGGCTGGGGGACTATCTCATCTATCTTGTACGATATCGCATGTTTCTAACCTGCGGCAACATATGTTCATCTCATGCGTAAGATCTTGGTTACACTGCATCCTGATGATAAGCTGATAGATGACAGTCGCGTGAAAAGCCCAAATCTTGGCAATAAGCTCATGTGGGATTTATCTCGGCCTCTAGAGATTTGATATTTTGGCTTCCCGAGGCTGGGAATGGATGTAGTTTTAAGAGGGAATTTTTGTTAATCTGCAGCAAACGCTTTAAGAATGGACGGGAATCCCTCTCTGCCATTGCATTGTTTCTGTGTCTGTGTGAGAACAGGAAGATAAACAGCGAGAAAACGGCCAGTCAAACAGGGAGTCATAGCGATGGATCATGCCCGTACAGTACTTGGGAACACATCACACATTTACTCTGCATCAGCAAACACACACATACACACACATTCACATGCAGCCTTTGGGAGCCACTCAACTGAGTTTGTCGCCTACCAAAAATGAATTTCACCAACATGATGTAACACACTGTACTGTGATGATTGTGTTATCAGCAAGCAGAAAGGGAGGGAAGAAAATAAAGTACATTCTTGTTTTTCCTGTAACAACACTTTTTAACTCCAAGAACAAGTCTCAAGATTGTGTGCTCAATATTTGCAGCGGTTTAATGCAACAGTGTCACATGACTGACGGCGTTTCTCCTGGTAACAATATTTTCAAAGAAAAAGCTTGAAAGGAGCTTGTCCAGTCAGAGCTAAAAAATGGTGCAAATAAAATCAAAAATTGTTTTTCCTGTGCAATTGTACAACAATGGGCTGACTTCAGCGGGAGGACAGATGGTAGAGCGGCCAGGAGTTATAATAATAATGGATTGGATTTATACAGTGCTTTTCAAGGCACCCAAAGCGCTTTACAATGCCACTATTCATTCACTCTCACATTCACACACTGGTGGAGGCAGCTACAGTTGTAGCCACAGCTGCCCTGGGGCAGACTGACAGAAGCGAGGCTGCCATATCGCGCCATCGGCCCCTCTGGCCAACACCAGTAGGCAAGTAGGGTAAAGTGTCTTGCCCAAGGACACAAAGACCAGGACAGAGAGGCCAGGGATCAAACCGACGACCTTCCAGTTACAGATGCGATTCCCAACCCCTGAGCCACGGTCGCTCAGGGGTTGGGAATGACCATTAATTTCCTTTTTTAATGGCACGAAATGACAAAAATAGATAGTGAAGTACAAACTGTGCACAGGCCAGAAACAGCTATCCACTGCTGCTGACCATAGACTGTATATAAAAGACAGACATAGCAGTGGCGGCATCACCCATTGATTCCTTGCTCTCTGTTTTTTAAAGTCTTCTGGCTGCCATCGTGTTAGTTTTATTAGAGCCAGAAGTGAAGATATATGAACAAACACTGGTGTTCAGTTCACCGGTTCACCTTTTGAAATGTGTTTGGCTGCAGCAGTAAGACACAGGTTTCACTCAAGTGGTCTCCAGTTCTGGTTTTCACCTCATCTTTTCCACGTTTTACTACCACTCAGCAAGCAGTTGATGAATATTTGCAGACAAATCCTTCATGCAAGTTACAGACAGCCACCACAGTCTGCAAGCAACCAAAGCGATTACAAGGATTTTTTTTGTAAACCCATGGCATGAAGCTCCTGGTGCACAGCTTTTATGCTGATGTTAATATCAGAGGTTTGTAGCTCTGCAATTACAGAGTCAGCAGAGTGTTGGGTCGAGTTGCTGTGGTTCTTAAATATATATGTGCAATAATACTGTGTGCAGTTTATTGTTGAGTATCTTGAACTGGAAGAAATTTCAAAAACGGACTTGTTGGTATCATCCTATTACAGCGAGCTCTTTAGAATAACTTGTGCTAAAGAGGTAGACTGCATGAATGGGTGCTTGACCTTATTCAGCTATGGCCATGGGACTGAAAACACCTGAATTCAGAGATAAAGAGGTGTGGCCAAATATTGGGTATATGCAAATTAGTGCCAACTACCAGACTAATAAGAAGCACAAAATTCTTGAATGGTTTTTACTCCTCATAAACATCCACTAAAATGTCTCCAAAAGACTCAGCAGAAACACAGTGGACAGTTCAGTGACTCCAGTTATAGTTTGCAGGTGTCATTTAATCTATCAAAGATTTTGATTAACTGGAATTTCCGCGTATTCAACAGAATATTTATGTGACAAAATAGATAAATGTCCCTCTCAGTGACAGTTTCATGTGTGTGTGCACATGGGCGTTATCATCCTTGTGTGTACGATGTCAAGGTCTGATTCTGATGTTGCTTTACAAGTCAGGCTCATGGGAAATACAACTCTGTCTGTAATCGTAGAAGACCATGAGTTGGTCTTAACTCTCACATAACCATACACACTTTACTCTCTGCTACCTTCGCAGCTAAGAAATGAAAAATGTTAAGAAAGACTGTAATTTAGTCCGTCAAAGTTAATTTTCTGATTGATAAATGCATCGTGTTTTTGTTTTTTGTTTTTCCTCAAGAGTCATGGTTTAATGAGATATGTGGAGGAGAAAGAAGAGAGGAAAAGTTAAAGATGCGAAAGTGTGCGTGAAAGAAGAACAGAGAGAGAATGGAAAAAGTGTTTTTTCAAGGGAAACACCAGGAGACATGTATGTGCTTTATTAGGGCCGGTATTAATGAAAGGAGAGGGATTAATTTGTAGGAGGTGAAGAGAAGATCTTAAGGAAGGAGAGAGCGAGAGCACAGCGAGAGAGAGAGTGAGAGGGGGGACGATTTGTTCAAGTTGTAGCGTTTATAGTTATAAAGTGTAAAGAATATTTATGGCCTGTCTCTTTTTATTTCTTTCCTCTGGCCGTGCATGTGCGTCAGACACCCTGCTGTCAGCACCGCTCAATGTGACCATCAGAGAACTCGAGGTTAACTCTGCTGTGGTTACGTGGGAAATCTTGGAGGGAGACCCTGTCATCGGATTTGCCATCACCCAACAGGTACCGCTACATGTGTTGTAAAGCCCAGCAGGACTGATATAAATATCAATATTTGGTGATTTAGAGATGCGATTTACCGGCCGATATATTATTTTTTAACTTTCAGCATACGTAACATAAGTAGTTTTCGCTAACGTTTGTTATGTGTAGTTTCTTATAAGCCACTGATAAGGTAATATGACGATGCAGTTTAAAAATAATCTCATTTCATTGTCACAAGCCATGGATTGCGCATTTACATTCTGCCCAGCTATGCTCGCATCAGCTGGTTTGTGTTTGCGTGACAGAGTTACAGAGTGCCCTCTGGTGGACAAACTATGCAACACATATATATTTGCAAATGCCTAATAACGCCCTACATATTGCCGATGCTGATATATTGTTATATAGTATATACAGGGAGTGCAGAATTATTAGGTAAATGAGTATTTTGTTGTCATCTGCACCTAGACTGAAACATAACTTTTCTGTTTACATGTGTCCAAACATTTTATTGTCTCAAGCACCAGGGAAACTTGTCATGTGGTTTAATTGCTAGATGTTTTTCATTTTGATTCTCTTTGTTTTTTATGGCTAATTAAAATATATAGAGACAGACAACCCTTCACACTCACATTCACACCTACAGGGAGTGCAGAATTATTAGGCAAATGAGTATTTTGTCCACATCATCCTCTTCATGCATGTTGTCTTACTCCAAGCTGTATAGGCTCGAAAGCCTACTACCAATTAAGCATATTAGGTGATGTGCATCTCTGTAATGAGAAGGGGTGTGGTCTAATGACATCAACACCCTATATCAGGTGTGCATAATTATTAGGCAACGTCCTTTCCTTTGGCAAAATGGGTCAAAAGAAGGACTTGACAGGCTCAGAAAAGTCAAAAATAGTGAGATATCTTGCAGAGGGATGCAGCAGTCTCAAAATTGCAAAGCTTCTGAAGCGTGATCATCGAACAATCAAGCGTTTCATTCAAAATAGTCAACAGGGTCGCAAGAAGCGTGTGGAAAAACCAAGGCGCAAAATAACTGCCCATGAACTGAGAAAAGTCAAGCGTGCAGCTGCCAAGATGCCACTTGCCACCAGTTTGGCCATATTTCAGAGCTGCAACATCACTGGAGTGCCCAAAAGCACAAGGTGTGCAATACTCAGAGACATGGCCAAGGTAAGAAAGGCTGAAAGACGACCACCACTGAACAAGACACACAAGCTGAAACGTCAAGACTGGGCCAAGAAATATCTCAAGACTGGTTTTTCTAAGGTTTTATGGACTGATGAAATGAGAGTGAGTCTTGATGGGCCAGATGGATGGGCCCGTGGCTGGATTGGTAAAGGGCAGAGAGCTCCAGTCCGACTCAGACGCCAGCAAGGTGGAGGTGGAGTACTGGTTTGGGCTGGTATCATCAAAGATGAGCTTGTGGGGCCTTTTCGGGTTGAGGATGGAGTCAAGCTCAACTCCCAGTCCTACTGCCAGTTTCTGGAAGACACCTTCTTCAAGCAGTGGTACAGGAAGAAGTCTGCATCCTTCAAGAAAAACATGATTTTCATGCAGGACAATGCTCCATCACACGCGTCCAAGTACTCCACAGCGTGGCTGGCAAGAAAGGGTATAAAAGAAGAAAAACTAATGACATGGCCACCTTGTTCACCTGATCTGAACCCCATTGAGAACCTGTGGTCCATCATCAAATGTGAGATTTACAAGGAGGGAAAACAGTACACCTCTCTGAACAGTGTCTGGGAGGCTGTGGTTGCTGCTGCACGCAATGTTGATGGTGAACAGATCAAAACACTGACAGAATCCATGGATGGCAGGCTTTTGAGTGTCCTTGCAAAGAAAGGTGGCTATATTGGTCGCTGATTTGTTTTTGTTTTGTTTTTGAATGTCAGAAATGTATATTTGTGAATGTGGAGATGTTATATTGGTTTCACTGGTAAAAATAAATAATTGAAATGGGTATATATTTGTTTTTGTTAAGTTGCCTAATAATTATGCACAGTAATAGTCACCTGCACACACAGATATCCCCCTAAAATAGCTAAAACTAAAAACAAACTAAAAACTACTTCCAAAAACATTCAGCTTTGATATTAATGAGTTTTTTGGGTTCATTGAGAACATGGTTGTTGTTCAATAATAAAATTATTCCTCAAAAATACAACTTGCCTAATAATTATGCACAGTAATAGTCACCTGCACACACAGATATCCCCCTAAAATAGCTCAAACTAAAAACAAACTAAAAACTACTTCCAAAAACATTCAGCTTTGATATTAATGAGTTTTTTGGGTTCATTGAGAACATGGTTGTTGTTCAATAATAAAATTATTCCTCAAAAATACAACTTGCCTAATAATTCTGCACTCCCTGTATGTTGTTCAGGCTCTAATGTGTTGTGTGAGTATGTTATGTGTGGAGAGCGAGTCAAAAATGATGACTTAATCAAACGGAGTACGACTTTTATATAGTGTAGCCCCATTCCTAGAATATCAGTACTCCTGGAATTCTGAGTACTGATTTGGTACTAATACTTTGACTTTGGGTATCTGCTAAATATGCCAGTGATGCACTTGGATCCTGCAGCAGGCCAATGATCTGAAACACACCAGCAACCTCAGAGTCCTCTACCTTTAAATCTGGTTTAAGTCTGACGTCATTAGCCGTGTACAGGTCCAAACTCCTATTCAGGTCCCAAAGTCAAATGAACACTGCGGCATCACTGAAAGTTAAAAACTGTCTAAATTTTTTTATCTTTAATAAAATGATCAGTGTGGCTGCTTTACCAGGTGCAACAATTAAGCTTAACATCCAGACATCCATGAAAACAGAATTTATGAAATTTAGCAGTTAGAAGTTAGCAGGGAGCTAGCTCACTAGTTTCCACCTAAAAATAATGCATCACGCTCTGACTGAAGGAGTTCTGAAGAAATTAAAACGTACAGCTCTGCTATCGCTTCCGACTTAAATGAAGACAGAAAACTAAACAGTAGTGACGTTTGTAGGGTTACATGAAGTTGTGCTACGTGGTGGCTAGCTGCACAGCTGTGGTTAGCATAATATAAACACATTAGCACAGTGAAGCTGGAGGATGAACGCTAACTTTTTTCCACTCGATAAAAGTTAATGTGAGGGTTCCCGAGGGTTAGGGACAAATGCAATCGCATGGCAGGATGCTGTAAAAGGACCAAACTTCAGTCAGGAGAACAACTGAGATCATCCATCCACAATACGAGGTTAGTCATTAATATACTGCTGGATTGGCTGGGCTCTAGTTACATTGTAAGGTTTTAAAATGAATAGTGGTAGATCGAGAGAGGCAGACAGTGATCACTGACTTTTTTTAGGGGCTTGGTCAGATTGAATAGAACAAAATACAAAAGCATTAAAACATGTTAAAAACACAACAGCCTTAATAAACGCAGAGTAGTTTGGACCCGGAAGCAGGATTCATACGTCACTTAAAGACCAGGTAGCTTAAGAAAAACAAAATGAATACCTTGGAGTGTCAACGTCTTGACCTGAATCCGATTGAGAGGCTGTGACATGACCCTAAAAAGGCAGTTCATGCTAGAAAACCCTCCACTGTGGCTGCATTACAACAATTCTGCAAAGATGAATGAGCCAAAATTCCTCCACAGATGTAAAAGACTCAATGCCAGTTGTCACAAACGCTTGATTGCAGTTGTTGCTGCTAAGGGTGGCCCAACCAGCTATTAGGTTCAGGGGGCAATCACTTTTTCACACAGATCCATGTAGGTTTGACACAACTGAGGAAGCTCCTCAGGTGTGTCAAACAATTTGAAAACTGTTTCTGGCTTACTCAAAAAAAGACTGCTTAGGAAAAACAAAACACTATAGGCATCGTAGGCATGAATGACCCCTGCAAACTGTTCTCCTGCTCCCAAATGGTGTATTGTTGCTACAGTACAGAACAGATTTGAGTAGATTAGACCGTTGTCATCTTGGGTTAAATTGGGCTGGAGCAATTCAGGACCGCATTCTGGTATGGAGTTAAATACAAAATAATGTCAAAAAAGTTCATTTTTCATGCAGCTGATGCCATGGGGACAGTTAAGTCACCACCTGGTTCCACCTGCCCACATAGTTTTCTCTTTTTTGTCACTGTCACTGCATCCATGCTGCAGATGTCAGTAAAGTTGAGTCTGTGGCGCTTCAGCTCTACTCAAGGGAAGCGAGAAAAAGCAGAGTAACTTTTAAAAAAAAATTTAAATGCAATGTGTCAAACAGTTCAACAAACAAACAAACCATTTCTGTGGTAGGTAACGACTGCTCAGCAGGTGACATTTGATGAACTGGAAATGTAAATTTTAATCACACATCAGATCTCTACATGTGATGCTTATTAGGTTATTTCATATTGTGAAATGGCTTTGACAACACATTAAATGATCATTTAAATGTTATTCAGAGGTCATATATCACTGCTACTTTAACCTCCTAGGACCTGGCGTCCACATATGTGGACATCACATTTTAGGGTTGTCTAGACCAAAATAATACATTTTTCTCTACAAGGGCCTGATATCCA